TGTAGACGTTGCACACGCAAGACGGCCTTTTTCATCCAAAGCAACGGCGGAGACTGTGTCGTAGGTATAGCATTCTTGAGGATCTTGTGATGTATTTCCTCCAAAATAGCTTTCTACAAATTCCGGATAACTCTCGTAGTCAAATTTGTGTTTCAAACTTGTCTCTTCTTCTACAAGATCGCCAGGTTCACAAATCCCGGTAAAGCCTATTTTCTCAGCAAATTTCAGGGCTCCATCTCCACTTAAGGCGCAATGATATGATTCTTCCATGATTTTTCTGGATATTGAAACAGGATTTGAAAAATGGCGTGCACCCATCACAGCGCCTAAAAATTAAGATGCAGATGTAGACAGTGTGTTGTTCTCCAATTAATACACAAATCTATTTCCCCTAATATAATTAATTGAATATAATTAGGATAGATATTGATTTTGAGTTCTAACGTGGTGAGAAAAGAGGCGCAGGGAGCATGTGGCCAAGGGGGATCCCCCATCCTCACAATATCAAACGGGAGTGGGTATTACTTTCAGTCCCGCCACCCCCCCCGCCCCCAATATCGAAACTAAACAATCAGCTAGAACTGTCATTTTAATTTTAAATTCAAATAATACAATGTAACTACGTTTTATGTTGTATATCGGAGAAAAAATGTCGGAAATTTGTAAAATTATTAGTATTAACGGATTCAATATATGTTTCGCTTTTGTTGGGAATGACAATCATTTACTTCGGTAGGCCACCAAAAATAACAGACCAACCAACGACAAAATTACGAAAAAAACAATAGTAAACTTTATTATGTAGTAGAGAGTGAGATACTGAAAAATACACAGTGAGATATTTTCCATATCTTCGCTGAAGATATCTATCACGTGAGATATATAGTGAAGATTTCGATCACGTGACTTTTCCAATTAGCTTTTGAGCGTGAAATTTCACAATTTTTTGCTTCGTACTATAAAATAAACAGAACATTATATGGTGGCTTGAAGATATGACTTTTATCTTCTCGTGTTAAAAACAATATTATTACTCATTCGCTGCGCTCGTTCGCAAATATTGTTTTCACCACTCTAAGATAAAAGTCATACCTTCGCTCCGCCGTGTAATATCCGGTTTACAAGCGAACGAACAAGTGAATGATTAGCGTATGGTTTGCAATGAATTTGCTGAAGCTACGAGAGTACTAAAATACTGAGAACGAGAACTACAGTGAATACCGAACTATTTCTCACTGGAGACGGGAGTCAAATGAACACCCGCCCGAGTCAAAAGGTGAAACGGTTTTTTTGGCCACCTACTGTACTTTCAGATATTCTGTAAAGTCGACGGGTGAACGATTTAGATCAAGTTTTGAGAAAGATCATAAAAAAGCTTATCGAGAATTCTTGCAGAACAAAAAACTTGTAGAACAGTTTGAAAAACAGTCTTCGGTGTAAATTTTTCCCTAATCCCAGATCCGTAACGTAGATGGAGCCTTCTGTTTTTGGTTGGCGAGAGGACCGTATTACACGATACGGACCTCTCGCACACGTTACGGACCTCTCACGTTTTGCGCCAAAACAAACCGGGGACTGAAGACAATTCTCAAACTCAAAATCGATCCAAAAATTTGAAAATTCCTCACTATCGATACTAAAGATAAAACTAAAAATAAGCTGAGCTGATTTCAATGGGTTTAGCTTCAAGCCCAAAATGTACTTTTCCCAACCTAAATGTGAAAAAAACCCAAGTGTTTCATTGACGTGTATAAAGTATCGAAAAATCAGTGCCATATATGTTTAGTCTTTAAATTTCCATACGTTTTAAGGAATAAATAGACTTTAGAGAAAGGACCTGAGATTTTATTTAAGTTGCGATGGAAACGGGCTTCAAAAATCCTCTCAAAAAGTTGTTTTACTGTACGATTTCAATGTGAAAATTTGATACAAGGCTTCTTATGCCAATTATGGGTATGAGAGACACATAGGGACATGCTATAATTGCATAATTTTACTCATTGACATATTTCCACTTTGAAGAGCACGAGGCTTTGAGAATATATTCTGTAAATTTTCTGTTTTGTTGTTACATCTTCTTGCATTTTTGTGTTTAATATTGCCAAAAGGTTCCAAATAAGGAAAAAAGTTTCGCGTGAAAACAAATAAAAAAACCCTCTGATATTTGCGAAGATGGCGATAATGTTTTGGAGGAGAGTCTTGTTCATTTCTCTCAATCTACCAGCCTTCAAAACTCTTCTGATCCAGATCCTGTTGTATATCACGACGACTTATTGAATGAAATTACATGAAGTAAAGTCAACATCGGCAAGGAAACTGGAGAATGCTAATTTACAATCACATTAAACTCCCGAAGTTGAAGTGATAACTACAAAGCAAACTTCACAAGAACAAGAAGTATATCGGACTGTTTGTGTTGAAAACTTTATAGGAAAACTTTTGAGAGCATGCGTAAGTGTAAAAATGGAAAGATTATAACTTGTGAAGATGCTTCAAAGCGTGCTGAATTGAGCAGTATTGATTATTTTGAGTGCACAGAATGCAAGCAGAGGGTTGCCATGGATATATCGAAGTCAGGCGGGGGAAAGATATGTTATTTTGATGGCAATCGCAGAACTAATCTTTCTTTGAACTAATCTGGGCTTAGGTATAGGGAAGCTCGTGTAACTATTTGGGAGATTTTTAATTTGCCACATCCAGTTAGTTGTGTGCTTTCCAAAAACACAATCAATCGGTGAATCTAGCAACAAGAAAAGTCCGGGAAGAAAGATTGAACGATGCTGGTCATCGAGTAAGAACGTTCCTATACAACAAGGATCACACAGAAATACTCGATATTGCTGGTCATTTGATGGCATATGAAGCAAAAGAGACTTTACTGCCAACTGTGGAGTATGGATTGTTATTTCTGCCGACACAGGGGATGTCTTGGCATATGTTGTTTTGTCAAACGTTTGTGAACTTTTCAAAGCTGCAAAGAAAAATTATAACGGTTCCAGTCCTGTTATGGAGAAAGAAGCAGCCAGAATTTTATATAGCAGATCTGTTTAAAAGCATAGATTTCAGTACATCAATATGGTGGAAAGAGGTAAAGCTGGAAGACTCACCAGGCCTACAATTGACAAACTGCAGAAATATTATAAAAATGCCATCAGACGTTGCGTTGATAAAAAAGAGAAAACTAAACGAGAAATTGACAATGCTGTAACGAAAATGCAAGGTGAGATCAAAGGAGTGTTGTATCACAGTGTCAAGACTGTTGATGAAAAAGCGGCATCAGTACTGTCCTGAAGGTGAAAGTCCATTGTGTTCCTACAAGAGAGACAAAGCAGTTGGAACTGATTAGTGCTCCTTTTGTGAACAAATCACATCATCTTGATCCAGGCTTGAATTTCTTACTCCGCTATTCGATCAACTTAGTGAGAAGAAGCTATTGAAGAAGTACTTAGCAGTGGCTTTCTCGGAATGCTAATGAGCCTGTAAATTCCCTACTCCCTAGTGTGGAACAGATTCCAAACCATAAAAATACAGGGTTTAAGTCTGTCGAGACAGCAGCAACATCAGCAATAATGCAATTTTTAACGTTGTGCCGCTTGGCTTGAAAATGAATCTTTTGGTCAATAAATTTTTGTTATAAAATTTGATGATATAAGAAGTTTTTTCCTTGAAAGTTGCATTTTTTCCTACCACTTGTTCATTTTTGTTGCATCTTCTCCGTTGTCGCAACTCCTCAGTTCTAATTGATATAAAATGCTTTGGACAAACAATTTTCATTTAGAGAAGATCTGGTTCGCTTTTCTTTCTTGCAATAGACCTTATGTATAATGACGTTTGTCACAACACATGCGCGCGGGGAATTCTGGTGTTACTAGTCACCATAGACATAGGAGACCTAGATTGCTGAATGCTAGCTGTCTGTAATGTTTTTTATAACGCACGCCACGCGCAAACATGAGTATTCAAAATGACGGCTCAACTGGTCAAAAATCATAAGAACGGTATAGGGAAAAACCATGTTTTTTGCATTTTGCGTCGTCCTACAGTTTCCGATCCCGTTCTATCACATTATTTTGGGAAGAACTAACTGGTGTGAAGGTTTTGGATGAATATTTGTACAATTTAATTTCAAACGAAATAATCGATCGCTAAGTGTTTTCTGAAAATCTTCACATCGTCGGTTGAGCAGTTCAAGACATTTTTTTCCAGAAAATAAAGGTTTTGGTTCTTTGGGTACTTTTTTTCTCGAGGATCTCGGTTGGGATATATAACAGGGAATAATATTGTGAAATATTTTGAAGTTAAAACCTATTTTGCTTGATTTACCTGGTCCACTGGTGCGAAAACTATGATGCTCTGTTTACAAGTATTTAGTGTGATTTTGATGACCTCCTTGCTGCTGCAGATGTCAAGGGATCTCAAGTTATATGGCCTGGACAGTGAAAAGTGATGAGTCAATCAGGATTTTAGAGAGAACTAGTGACAACGAAAGTTTTCAACGGAAACTAGTTTGAAGAAACTGACTAATTTGTCTAGTATGCATTAAACCTTCACAGTATATCTAGTTCTATTCAAGAAACCTGATTGATTCATCATTGATAATCGAAAATAGATGGGACAGCATCTTCTTTCAGCTATCCCTTGGATTGGCCTTTTATTAATTGCTCTCTCTCTCTTACTAACCCATTAAGCGTCAGCACTCTCTCCTTGACGAGTAAAATTATCTGAAACATTTATATTTCGAAGTGACTATACTGTCTATACAGCCGGCAGTTGGCTATTAATTTAATTAAGTAAACTGCTGGCAATATAGTAGTCTCCTTCGCAGCCACTCTTTTTGCCAAGGTTTTTCCCCATGAGTGGCAGCTCACTCAAGCACAACATTCCATTCCCTTCGTCTTACTTTAGCCAATCAGATATATTTAGCGACATAAATATCTAAATAAATTTAGCGACATAAATATCTTAACAAGTCCAAAGTCATGTTTTCAAAATTTAGAAGCATTACAGTGATTGGTTGTTTTCAGGAAAGGAATTTGTGCTCGAGTGAGCAGCCGCTCGTGTGGAGAAACTGAACACAAAGAGCGGCTGTGAGGGAGACTAGCTTGCAATTCCTTTGCACAGATTCATGTACGCCTAGCGTACCTATTTTTTAATAGTCTTAAACTATTCCGTTTATATGAAGTATGTTATAGTGTACAAATAAACAATATGCGTGTTTCATAGTCTTACTTATGGAAGGACAAGCAAATACCATCTTTGAAATCCCCACGTCTGGCCTTGCAGTTATAGCTGAACACGATCTAGGCCGAGATTGAAGGCATCCTTTTCGCCGGATAAAAAACAGATTTTTTAGAATAGAATGCCCTAGAATTTTCAGATGAAAATACTGTATTTTGGTTTGAATAACAACGAAAGAACAAAATAAACAATTGTAGCTTTTCGAATAGTTAGATCTATCATCTATATCATGTTACTTGAGAAAAACCGGTAAAAGACTGAAGGAATACACAGGAAAAGAAACCAGGCCGGCAGTTTCGCGCCCTTTTCGTCCTTGCGCATTCTTGCCCGATCGAATTTTAAATTGTAAATTGTACTAATTAGAACATATACACATCCAAAACTTTCATACCAGTTAGTTCCTCCCCAAAAAAGGTGCATGGTTCAACGGGATCGGCAACAGTAGGCGGACGTAAAATGCAAAAAACATCGTTTTTCCTATGCACCGTCTATGATTTTTGACCGGTTGAGCCGCCACCTTGGATTTTCAAATTTGGCACGCCTTTTCAGCCGAGTCAGCAATCTAGGTCTCCTATATCTATGGTAGTCACGGCTGGAAAACAATCCAACATGGCTACTGTCGTAGGTAGGTGCGCTGCTGTTCTTTGTTGTCTTTTAGAGGCTGTTCAAGCCATTGAAGATCCTAGTTCTTTCCAGAACTCTTGTACGTGTCTTCAAGAGGTTTGACAGCCTTGAACGTAATGTCAACAGTCCGCTTTCATCGACCATTACGAGTAAAATACGTGGCGGGTTTTACGTGCTGTGTTCCTGGTTGTTTTACTATATTTTGTTATATATAAAAGAATTATATTCTGTGCCTTTTATTGTTAGTCCATAATTCGTTGGTGTAGGCTCTGCAACATTCAAATATGGCAGCTGCATGGTTCATGTACGTTTTACGTTTTCCTGAAAAATGCAAAGAACACACTCTATGGCATGTTACGTTTATCCACTTTCTTACGGAGTTCTTTTAAATTCCCACACTTTTACCACTTGGAGAATTATAAAATGACGGCTCGGGATTTATTTTATTGTTGGTCAAACAACCAGGAGCATAACACGTAAAACCGCCACTTCTTCTACTTGTACTGGTCAATGAAAGCGGACTGTTGCCGTTACTTTCAGGGCTACCAAACCTCTTGAAGACCCGTGCAAGAGTTCTGCAAAGAACTATAGGATCTTCATTGGCTTGAACAGCCTCTAAAAGCCGACAAAGAACAGCAGCACACTCACCTACGACAGTTGCCATGTTGGATTGTTTTCCCGCCGTAACTACTAAAACCGCGCACATCACGCCTTGTGACGTTATTATACATCAGGTCTATTGTTTTCATTGCTTGGCTTGGGATTCCATGCAGATCGCATTCTCGTTTAGTGGTTTGTGATCGCGGTTCTAACATTGCTCCTACAACGCTAGCTAATTTTGATTGAATTGCAGTTGAAAAGTATTTTTATGGAGACTGCTTGATTTTGGAAAGTGCTTGTCAAAATTAATGGAGACAGAATTTTTTAAAAATGTCAAAACTACCCACACTACATGACAAGTAGATGGGCTGTTGCTAAGCGATGAGTTAGAGCTTGTGACTGACGTCACTAATTAAATAATAGGAGAATTCCAAAATCGATCTTTCAAATAAAATTTTTTACTGTGTAATATCTTCTTCCATAATATTATAATAGAAATGCTTTCCATGCAAGCGTCAGTGTGCATTCGGGAATATTGGGAAAACACTCAAAAAAGGCGTTAAACACTCGGCTATTGTACTGGGTATATAAATATATTATTTTATGTTTTTATTTTATATGTATATTTATCATATATGGATCGATTTATATACATATGTATAGGTTATCATATGAGGGGTGAGGTAATATCAGTTTTATCGTTTGAAGTATACGATATCATAAATGTCACAAGTGAGCGCAGCCAACGAGGGACATTTATGATATCGTTCTGAAACTGATACCACCTCACCTACATATTATGATAACCTGTTTATCACATACTTGTGCCTTTATCAGGGTCAGAATTTATTTTTAAAATAAACATTGCCCCAAAGACAAAACAGATAGAACTTAAAAAAAAACAAAGACTAATTTATCTTTGAATAGCGGATGGTCGCCGTCTGTTTTTCGCTTTGTATATTATCACTTTATTCTTCGATATTAAAGCTGTCAACATCGACTAAATTATACGAACCTTGAGTCAGCCATCTTTGTTTTGACAGCGACAAATATAGCGGAACAGAAAGCCATATCAGTGACAAAAAACGATATCAGTGACAAAAAAATATCAGTGACGATATCGCCTTCTTTTATGTCATAATCGTCATTTATAAATGATATATCAATGATAAACTTGTGCCTATATGTCAGGATATACTGGCACAAGTTTGTCATTAATATATCACTTATAATTATATCAAATATATATTATGAATCAAATACCTGTATTCATTGTGTGTCCATCCATAATCATTGCATCGCATTCCACTTCACCATTATTGGTCAGTAATGATCCATGGCCAGCATTAAAGTACTTATTGTCTTCCAGTAAACGAACTGCTTCTTCTACAGCATCAACTGCTGTGCCGCCTTCCTGTAAAAATTTAGTAGAATTAAAAATTGGCGATCTATTGTTATATTTGCATGGATATTACTGCATTGCATGCAGCTAACAAAAAATAAAGAACAGATTATTAACATGTTTTTCAGGAGTTCTAAAGGTGTCAGCTCTTTACTTTAATTTTTAATTAATTATACCTTTCTGAAACTAAACTATCCATTGCACGGCAAATAGCACGTGAAAAACAGTAACTACATGGTTGTAGCTGACATAGCAGCGCCAAACCTGTTTGAAAATGCATGGTGATCCTGCATGTATGAGACTTTAAACCTGTTTAGCAACAGTAACTTTGAATTTAGTAAATGATGTTAAGTAAACTTTTAAACGTGAAAAATGTGTCATTTCTTGCAATACTAAAATTAAAGCTGCTAGTAGTTACGCAAACTAGTGGCTGATGTCATCGTTGACCGCAACTTATTTACAAAACATAACAAATTTATAATTCAAATCCTAACATTTATACACTCGTATATGGGTCCGTATTTTCTTTTTGACTGGTGGCAAAGAAGTAGTCAGTCCGCCCATGTGCATATTACCATAGATATCTTATAATAACACTTGATAGTGCATCTAATTATTCTGCAATTTCAAAAATTGAAGCCGTGAATGCTGCAGTCTCAGGTCGTTCCCATGAAATGAGAGAAGATTGGTATATTTCCTATTTCGTAAATAGGGAAATTAAATATTACCCTATTCCAAATACCTTTTTAAAGTATTCAAATGATGAATGTTATTGTTGTTTTTAAGCGTTTATTAGCGAGTAGGAACGACCAACATGGCCGTCATCTATTCAAATGGGAGTAACCGCTGAAATATTCTTGGCTTCAATTTTACTAAAAGAGATGCCCTATCTAGTGTATATGAGATATCTATGGCATATTACACATTGCCAAGTATTATGTATATTCTCATGCAGTCTGGAACAGTTTCGATAATTGTTTCATGCAGTGTTTAATTCAATCATGCAGTGTTTAATTAAAGTGTTTTTTCAACTTGTAGTCGCCTGCGCTGCGGACATTTAGCAAGCTAGGCCATGGGCTAGTTATAATCCTCACTGGCATTACTAACGTTAACAGAAGCTTAATAGTCGCTAGAAAAATTTTAGCAGGCCTGATTCCTGTGTTTTACCTATAGTTATGCGAAAATTAAGTCTAAAATATTTATATATGTATTAAGTGAATGTATTAGGTGCTATACTATTTCGAACGGTCCGCGCCAGTGTATAGGTAGAGACGATATAACTGAAAGCTGCGCTGTGAGAGATATACAACTACCTGAAAAATTTTAAAAAGCAAGACTTCATAGGGCCACAAAATCAACGAAAGCCTCGATCAGACGAACATTTGGCAGTCAAGATTAGTCATTGTTACGGATAGTCTAGGACCTGTATATGAGTTTGTATGCATTTCATTTACGACAGATAATCTCAACTGTTTTAGAGTAAGTTGACCATGACGGTTAACGTCGTAACGCTGCCCGAACCCCAATCCGGGGCGAAACGTCCGAAACTGACCACACCCAAAAACGACGCTTTCGCCATACTGCTATCTACCAAACCATAAAAGTTTTGGCTATTCTGAGGTGCTTATATGGTTCAGAGATGGTACTTTTGGGGATGGTCATTGGTAAGTGTGAAATGCCTAGCACTAATATTTCACAAGAAAATGACCATGCAATAATCACAGTTAAACGTCAATTTGTGGCTTGCAAATTCAGATAAACAGCAGTGGATTTACATTACCTTTTTCCCTAAATCTTCTTGATAGAAACATAATTGGTACTTATTTAAATATATTATCACTGGTTTGGTGTAAAATAGTTAACATTTTCTGACCGAAATAATAATTTGAAATGTGCCTATATACCTCCTGCAAATAGACGTATTTGGCCAAGTTCTCCACTTTACTCCGTTGTTTATCGGCGATCTCGTCGACATCCTACAAAAAATGTAAATCATCTCAGACATAATCGTATCAAGAACATTTTAAACAAGTTTCAACTTGGTTTCAAGTGAATCATACCTGTTCAACCATCGACAAGGTAAATCCACAACTTTGTCCAAATTTGGCGCCATTTTGTCATCCCATGTCGCTTGTTAACAATTCAGCCTTGTTACTCTTCCATCCAATCCATTTCCATTCCACTAATAATAAATTTAACCCTTTATAACAGGAGGAAACTAAAAAATCTAAACAAAATATAAGAAATACGCCATTTTATCACCATGTAAAATTTTGATCACGAGTCTTCCAAAACATTCCGTACAAATATCGCCTGACAAAGTAACAGGGACGTGACCGGAGGGGTGTATTATTTCACGAAGATAGAAGGCTGCGTGAAATAGACTAAAAGCTAAATACAATCATACAAATGTTAGTTTTATTTCTTGTAGCGACAAATATATACATATTATTATTTATTAATATAAAAAAGTCATACAAATTAAATGTTGATTGTTGGTTTTACCATACTGTTTGGGTTTTCCTTTCATTTTTTAAGTCTCTCCCCCCCCCCCCTGTCACGTCCCTGTTCCCAAACCAAGCGAGATTTGTACGAAATGTTTTGAAGGACTCGTAAACAACATTTTACAAGGTGATAAAATGGCGTATTTCTTATATTTTGTTTAGATTTTTTAGTTTCCTCCTGTTATAAAGGGTTAAATTTATTAGTAGTGGAATGAAAATGGCTTGGATGGAAGAGTAACAAGGCTGAATTGTTAACAAGCGACATGGGATGACAAAATGGCGCCGAATTTGGACAAAGTTGTGGATTTACCTTCTCGATGGTTAAACAGGTATGATCTACTTGAAACCAAGTTGAAACTTGTTTAAAATGTTCTTGACACCATTATGTCTGAGATGATTTACATTTTTTGTAGGATGCCGACGAGATCGCCGATAAACAGCGGAGTAAAGTGGAGAACTTGGCCAAATACGTCTATTTGCAGGAGGTAGGCACATTTCAAATTATTATTTCGGTCAGAAAATATTAACTATTTTACACCAAACCAGTGATAATATATTTAAATAAGTACCATTTATGTTTCTATCAAAAAAATTTATGGAAAAAGGTAATGTAAGTCCACTGCTGTTTATCTGAATTTGCAAGCCACAAATTGACGTTTAACTATGATTATTGCATGGCCATTTTCTTGTGAAATATTAGTGCTAGGCATTTCACACTGACCAATGACCACCCTCAAAAGTACCATCTCTGAACCATATAAGCACTTTAGAATAGCCAAAGCTTTTATGGTTTGGTAGATAGCAGTATGGCGAAAGGGTCGTTTTTGGGTGTGGTCAGTTTCGGACGTTTCGCCCCGGATTGGGGTTCGGGCAGCGTTACCATGTTGACCGTCATGGTCATCTTACCCTAAAACAGTTGAGATTATCTGTCCTAAATGAAATGCATACAAACTCATATACAGGTCCTAGACTAATAACAGCTTTGACTCATCGGGTGCGTGTATTTTCAATAAAGTGTGAGGTCAGTGATCAGTAGCCTGTGATGTGTCCGCTTTACAAATTGAAAATGCATATTACTTAATTTAATTTTAGCATTGATTACCGCACCGGATCAAACATGTGTGATATTTTTGTCCGGGAAATTGTTCGAAACAAAGAGATCGTCCTATATCACCAAAAAATTAACAATGTCCAATGAGGTTAGTTCTCGTTTTTTAAAAACATTTGTAATCCACCGTTGTTTACGAGCGAAATGACATATTATCAATAACATTAAATTTGGAGACCAAAATATTACAGGTGATATCAACATAGCAGATACAATTAATAACTACTTTGTAGAAATTGGACCCAAACTTGCTTCCGTTATTTCTCCTACAGACATAGACCCTATACAACCTATTCAGCCTTGTAGATCTGAATTTAACTTAAGAACAATAACGACAGAATTCAAACAATTGGGAAAACTAACTTAAAAAAGGCCCCAGGTCTAGACAAAATACCAATTAAACTAATTAAACTAGCAGGAGATGCCATTCATGACTCCTTACTACATATCTTTAACCTTGTACTGGGCACTGGCACAGTGGCGTGCTGGCAGGGGGGGCCGGGGGGCCACGGCTCCCCCAGCTGGCAATTTTTGGGGGGCGCAAAAATGAAAAGGGGGCGCCGATCCTGCGCCGAATTTTGAAAGTGGGTGGGAAAAAACGCATTTGAAAAAATATAGTTACTTCCACCAAGAAAAAATGTGTTTATAGGCTTATAAACAGACTGAGCGCATAGGCGACAAAGTGATATATTAAATTACAAACTATTTTTTCTAACCAGCCAGTATTGCTACCTCACACGAAATCGTTCATATAGATACATGATCAGTGATCACACGCAATGTCGCATTACCGGAATATTGGCCAGGTTTCGAAGCGATCACGGGAATTATGCCCTTTTTTGCTTGTATTATGCCCTTATATTATGCCTTTATATTGCTTCACGAATCACGAGAGCGGCGCAAATTAGATAGTTATGATAATGTAAAGTTGTGTACGCAATTTAGTTGTTTGAACAAGAAACATCATAACTCATCGAGTAATGTGAGTAGTAAGATAATGCTGAAACGCGCGCCCTTTTGGCAGCCAGGCAAGGAAACCTTAAACGGCATGGTGTACCACTGACATCGACTCGCACCGATGTGCAGATGAACTGCTCAACTTTGCAGAATCTTTTCAAAAATCGAAGTGTTCAGTGATTTTTGATGAAGACCGAAAGAAGAAGAGAAAGATTCTGATTTAGACTCCGGTTCTGAATCTGAAACCGAAGACTACGAAGAAGAAACCGACAGCGAGTCAAGCGACGACGGAACTGCTGAAGAACCAAAGGACAAGGATAAACAATCATTTCTAGAAGCTCTGAGAATTTTGTCGAATCCTGATTACCACCTAGTTGATGCATTTCCAACTCTTTGTAAAGTTTACGCGATCGCAGTTGCAATTCCAATCAAACCCGCACACGTTCGTCTTTGTCTCAAGAAAAACTTGAAGCATTGCTACTTATGACCGGCACTGAACGGAAGATTTTAATGTCTTTGAAAAAGGAGCAGATTATTACCGCCTTGGAGGTCTGACATCAGAATTGTCGAAGGCGCTTATATGAAAATGCTTTAGAAATGCTATAGAAATCGACAATGGTTATTGAAACATTAAAGACATTGGAGAACATCGATCGATCGATATGGGCAATACTTGACGTTATCAACATTCGATACAACACGTGAAAAATAGTACTAACTATCAAGTGATATACTGTATAGTATTTTAAAACTCTTTTTGTATGTTTTGACAAAAAACATGACAGATTCGTATGAATAAAGTGCAAGCACAC